ATTAGACAGGCTGGAGGGTGGTGCCGCCTGGGAACCCTCCGGCTGGGGGGAGGGGTGGGGTGGGGGTGCTCAGGCACATGGATCCTCACCCATGACCCATCGTCACAGGGAAGGCGACTCAGCAGAAAAAGCAGAAGCGGCTGGAGCGCCCTCCAAAAAAAGCTCGACTGATCGGTGGCTGGGATGGAGGAGGGTTCAAGGTGAGCCAGGCAGCCCCTTTTCACCTGCATCCCGTCGGTCTCCTCTACCTGTTGGCTGGGTGATTTTTAAGACTTGGGTGCATGAACGGCAGGAGGGAAACGGGCATAACTGGTCAGTTGCATCCCAAACTCCCCAATGTCTCCGAAGTGTCGGCAGCACCGCAAAGACCTCGTGGAATAGAGACGCCCCACACAGTTCCAGTGGAAGAGAAGCTGTGAGAAGCTCTGCGATGCGCTGCGGAGTCCTTGGGGCTCCGAGTGGGGTTGTTTTTCTTGCAGACGTTTCATGACCCAACCAGGTAACGTCATCAGGGCTAGAAGGGTTTGCAGAGAGAAAGAGGAAGAGAACGGTGGGGTCTTCGGTGCTCTTGGAACTCCGTTGTCTGCTTACAGACTTTTCATGGCCCAACTAGGGAACATCATCAGGGCTAGGAGGGAGTGTGGAGAGAGGGAGGGGGAGGTCTCCGATGCTCTCTGAGCTTGGTTGCTTTCCTGCAGATGTTTCATGACCCAACTAGGGAACACCTTCAGGGCTAGGAGGGAGGGAGGTTTGTGGAGAGGAGGAGAATTGTGGGCTCCTGGATGCTCTCTGAGCTTGGTGCAGACCTTTCATGACCCAACTAGGGGACACCATCAGGGCTAGTGAGTGTGAGCTGTACACCGCATATAAGCTTGAGGCAAATTCCAGTTCTCCCTATTTCAGGACCCCCGTGGGTTCCCTGTGAGTAAGGTGGTCCTTTGGCAGTTGGGAAGGGCTCAGAGGCCAAGCAGTTGGAGCAGGACCACATGGGCAGGGCTGGGGGGGGGAGGGAAGATTGGGGAAGAGGAGACATGGCTTTTGAACCGCCTACGCACCTCTGTCAGGCTGGCCCTGCAGTTTCCCTGCTGCAGAGCAGCACAATTTGCACATTCAGGGGAGCCTCCGAGAGCTAAAATTAATATTAGGAAGGAGCTAAGGCCATTGATTATTGCTTTTCCTCCGAGGAAAGTAATAGAAATAGAAATATATTAATGACCAAACACTTTAGAGCCCATTTCTGACCTTACCAACCTGTTGCTAAGCCGCCCGTTACAGCAGCCTTCCTCATGCTTGGCCATTTGAAGGACTCCCAGAATTCATGCTGGCTAGGGAATTCTGGGCGTTTGACATCCATGAATGCTGATTAGGGAATTCTGGGCGTTTGACATCCATGAATGCTGATTAGGGAATTCTGGGCGTTTGACATCCATGAATGCTGATTAGGGAATTCTGGGAGTTTGACATCCATGAATGCTGATTAGGGAATTCTGGGAGTTTGACATCCATGAATGCTGGCTAGGGAATTCTGGGAGTTTGACATCCATGAATGCTGATTAGGGAATTCTGGGCGTTTTGACATCCATGAATGCTGATTAGGGAATTCTGGGAGTTAAAAGTGACCAAAGCGGAGAAACCCTACGGCTCTACAGACCAATACCGTTTGCTGCAGATAAACGACATTCTATCCTTTCTGCAAAACATCATTTCCCCGGGCGAGCTTCCCCAATACTTTTGAGGGGATTCCCACAGGGCCACATCTGCGGATTGCATCTACCAGCCTCCTGCTTCACCAACTTTTTTCCTTCTTTCCCAGGCGGGAAATTCCTGTTTATTGTTGCCATGACTAAACCGCGGCTCTTGGCCCAAGGAGTCACTTTCCATGCCTTTTTGCACGTTTTGTTTCCTTTGAGAAAACTGAAGCTGAGGCTTCCAAATATTTGATGAAGGCAAGGAAATATTTTTTTCTGCACAGCTGTTAGAATCCTTATGGGGCTCCAAAGGGGCCTTGCAAAGATAAAGCACCAAGCTGAAGAAAGTTACCTTGGTGTGGAATTTGTTTTTCCATACGCCTGCGCCCGTAGTGGCCCTTTTATTCCTAGTGGGGGTGTTATGGCTTCCAATTTTGGAATCTGACTGGTACCTCAACATAAATCATTGCTTGGAGAAGAAGAGATGTACTGATTGAGGAGAACATCTGTAGCTCTGGGCTGAACTGTGGGGTCCTTGGTGGTCTCTGAGCTTTGATGGTTTTCTTGCAGACGTTTCCTGACCCAACTAGGGAACATCATCAGGGCTAGGAGGGGAAAGGTCAGGAGGAGGAGGAGGAGCAGGAGGAGGACTAGTGGGTTCCTTGGTGCTCTCTGAGCTTGGTGGTTTTCTTGCAGATATTTTATGACCCAACTAGGGAACATCATCAGTGCAAACCCATTCCCTTCTCCCTGATGATATCACCTAGTTTGGTCATGAGATGTCTGCAAGAAAACCAGAGAGGACCAAAAGATGCATAAGGCTACGTTTAATCTACCCATTCCCTCCAAAATCAAATACTCCCTTACAAGGGAAGTGTATTTTGGGGCTGCCTCTTTTCTCCCATAAATAATCTAATCTAGTCGGTCTAGATCACTGTAAAATGGGTTCTGGAGCAATTCTAGCTTTGAGATTCCCCCCCCCCAAAAATGGCCCCAACCGCAGGTTCCAAAGGATTTTTCTTCTTAAATGCAACCCCCCGTTTGGATGGAAGACGCTGGAATGCTTTCTTGGCAGAGGCCGCAGCCGTCCGCAGCACCAGTGCTCACCGTAACGGCCGTCCCAGCGTGACGGAAAACGATTCCGAATTAAGACACGAGACTCTCTGGGACAAACTCCAAGCTGAACCGGTGACCTGACAACGGATTTAAACACGATTCCTGGAAACGGATCCAATGGCTCAGCGGGAAACCTGGCCGGGCTGTAGAGGGAAACAGCTGCAGATTGGGTGCCTTTGGGGAAGAGGTTTTTCTGGGCCAGGCCCAGCCAGATGGCCTTTAATTCCTATTTTGTTTGGATCCCGCCTTTTATTGACGCAATCCAAGAAGGGATCAGTTCAGGTCCGGCAGCTCCCGAGCAAAATCCCCTCCTCCACGCCAAATCTGGCTCCATGGCTGAGGAACAACGGTAGTCCTCGACTTACGACCCCAAATTGGTGTTGCTAAGAGACACAAAATCCAGTTTTGCCCCATTTGATGACCTTTCTTGCCACGGTTGTTAAGTGAATCATTGTAGTTGTTAAGTTAGTAACAGGGGTTGTTAAGTGAGCCTGGCTTCCCCGTTGGCTTGGCTTGTTAGAAGGTTGCAAAAGGGGATCACGTGACCCTGTGACATTGAAATCGTCATAAATGCGAGTCAGTTGCCAAGCATCTGAATTCTGATCACAGGACCACAGGGATGCTGCAATGGTCATATGTGTGAAAAGCAGCCATAAGTCACTTTTTTCAGTGCCATTGGAGCTTCAAACAGTCACTAAATGAACTGTTGTTGAGGATCATATATATAATAGTTATTTCAGATGATTGCTTTAGTCCGGCAAGATTCTGTCTATAGGCACGTAACCAACAAAGGAGTTATTCAGAAGTAACTTCTCTATCATTCTTGCACAACCAGCAAAGATAACAGATAATCTGAGTTGGAAGGGACCTTGCAGATCTTCTAGTCCAACCCCACCCCACCCTGCCTAAGCAGGAGATCCTACACCATTCCTGACCGATGGCAGTCCAGTCTCTTCTTGAAAGCTTCCAGGGATGAAGCTCCCACAACTTCTGTTCCATGGGTGGATTGTTCTCCCTGTCAGAAAGTTTCTCCTTATTTCCAGGTTGAATCTCTCCTTGGTCAGTTTCCATCATGGGTAACAACGGCAGAGAGACGGTCTGGGTATAAGGTATGCCAGCTACAAACGGACAGGGGATCCGAGTTTAAATAACAGGTAACAAAGGCAATGGGAATGCCCGATTCACTTAACAACTGTGGCAGGCAAGGTTGCAAAATGGGACAAAGTTCACTTAACAACGGTCTCATTTAGCAAAGGACATTTGGGGCTCCAGGGTGGTCGTAAGTTGAGGATCACCTCTACTTCCAAACCAGCCCCTTTCTGAATCTGGAAATGCCAAGTTGCCTCCCGAGGCAACTGAGATGCCAGGGCTGTGGTTATCCCCCCCCCACCTCTGCCAAGCGCTCCAGGTTGGGTGGGGGGCTTCCAAAGCTGCGTCCCCAGAGGGCCCTCCCCACCATTCACCCACAAATAACACCAGGAGGCGTCCGTGTGACAGTTGTCTCTTTTCCAAAGGATTTGGAACCAGTAAAAAGGGAAGCGACACAAGGGAGAATTCCCCCCCCCCCCCCCCGCAACCTTCCCGCTTCCCAAGAGGGTTTCATTGGCTTAACCCTCGCCCAGCCTTCCTCCGTCCACCAGTTTGGTCCCTTCCAGGCCTGCTGGTTCTCCCTCCCAAGGCGCCGAGACCCACGGAGGCTCGATCTGACGAGGAGGAAGGAGGCAAGATCTCAGGAGCTTCGGCTGCCTGCTCAGTGCCCAGAAAACAATCTCTTGGCTGCCAACCGCCTGCCCCCTGCGCCCTCCTCGTGGGCGGCCTGGGCAGGGCCGGCCCCAGCCAGCACGATCAGGACGTTGGGCTCCGCTGGCACGCCCAGCCTCACGGTTTCAGGTGTCCGGTTTTGGGGACGCCTCGGCCCCCCCGCCGTTGACCCTTCGCTGCTCCAGCGTGGCCGAGAGGGGATGCATCAGGCTGACCTGAGCGTTACTGAATGAGGAGATCCGACCGCTGCCCCCGATCTGGATGTTGACGGTGGTGGAGTAGCTGGCCTTCGGAGGACCCTTCTCAGGGAACCGAGCCGTGTCCGGGCTCAGGGGGGCTCCCCGTTTGGGGCAGTGCTCCCCCATCTCCAGCTGCAGTCTTGGGGAGCTGCCTGGCCACCCCTCTTGCTTGACGTATTTCAAGCACAGGTTCGGCACGTTGGGCCACCGGATGCTGCCCAGTTCGTGGGAGGGAGGCCCACCGCTTCCAGGTGAGGCCTCAGAGCCGGAGGATTCCTGGTGCCCCCCGTTGGGGGCTGGCTCTCCGGAGGGCAGGAGGGTCCTTTGGGCTTTCGCGCAGGCCGTGGGGCAGGAGAGGCCTGGCGCCCAGGGCTCCGGGTGGGCCACGGGGTTGGGGGGCTGCCTCTGGGGGTGGGCCCCCAGAGGCCTGAAAGTGCAGGAGGGGTGGGGGCCTCCCGGAGGGGGCGAGCACATCCTGGGCCTCACGGGGGACTGCACACGAGAGTTGGGGGCCGAGGCCGAGGAGAAGGGGGGGCAGCGCTCAAGAGCCGGGGGGCCCGACAAAGGGGGCCTGCATGGGGAGGGGGAGGGGGGCCCAGGGACGATGCACTGAGAGGAGGAGGAGGAGGAGGAGGAGGGGACAGCCACCGCCTCTGGCCTTCCCGGGTTCCGATGGCGCTTGGGTGCCGCCTTGGGGAGGGAAGCCAGGGGGTCGGCTGGCAGCCAGGGGCCCCGGGGGTCCTCGGGGGCAGGGACGCCATTCCTCTTGGCCAGACTTTGGGAGATGCAGGAGGCGGCAATGTACCTGGAGATGGCAGCCGCGCTGGAGGAGAGGCACCGGCGGACGGGGGAGGAGGGCAGGCATTGGGGCAGGGGCACCCGTGGGCATTGCACCGCCAGGCACACGGGGGACTCCACCCCGGCCGGGAATTCAGGAGGGGCAGCAGGAAGGGGTTCCTGGGGTGGGCAGGGCGGCCCCTCCGTGGAAGAGTCGAGCGGCAGGGGCTGGGTGGCCTGGGTGGCTTCAGGAGCGGCAGAAGGGTTTGGGGGTCCCTGGCGGAGCCCCCCAGGCAGTGTCCCGGAGGCTTCCTGGCTGGGCCCTGCTGCCTCTCGGTCTGGTCCCTTCCTCTCCGGCAAAGCGAAGGCCGAAGGGCTTCTCCCTCCAGTGCTCGGTGGGGAGTGGCCCTTTCCCGGTCCTGGGGCCACGGGCCCCTCCGGCAGGCAGAAAAGGGGGCAGCCGGGGGTCCTGGCCTTGGGGGGCTCCCAAGAGACGGAGACATTGTCCGATTGGTGGTCCCTGAGACACTGCTGCAGTTGGAGGGCCGGGCTGGCCTGCTCTGCGCCCACAGAAATCTTGGGGGGCAGCCTGGGCTCCGAAGGCCGACTGCCCCCCTCCCCATGCCAGCCCGGCTCACGGGGGTGTGGCTTTCCGTGGCTGCTCTTCTCTCCATGCTCCATCCGGGGTGACGCCTGGGGAGACGCAGGGGGGCCCTTCTGTGGGATAGGGTCCAGGGCGGGGGAAGGGCCCTCCGCCCCTCCTCCTCCTCCTCCCCCCTTGGTGGGGGCCGTGAGCGTCTCCGTTCCTGCCATGGGGACCCTCGGAAGGAGCCGCGGTTCGTGCCAGTCGTGGTGCAGCGAGGCCAGGATCTCCGGAGACAGGAGCCAGCAGGGTCTGTCACTGTGCAGCACCACGGCTGTTTCACGCGTGGCGGCCACCAAAGGCGTGGTTTCCTGGATGCCAACCACATGCGGGAGGGACTCGTGGATCAGCACGTGGCCATAGATTTGGGGCTCACCTGTGGGGAGAGAGAGAGGCAGGAGGCAAAATGAAACACTGGCTCCCTGGAGAGGAGCGCGACAACGTCAGGGGACTGGGCCTCATTTAAGCACGGGGGTCCTTGACTTATGCCCGGAAGGGGCCTCAGCATTTCGGTTAGGTTGAGATATCCACGTGACTCTGGTATACAGTTTTTTTTTTTCCAGTGGCCATTAAGCAAAGCTAGTCATTAAGCAAACCAGTGTATCCCTACGGGTATTTCTTTGAGGGGGGTGGATGGCTTAGAAATACAGAATATAAAGAAAGGAGGGAGGGAGGGAGGGAAGGAAGGAAAGAAAGACATGGGAATGGGAGAAAGGGAGGATTGGTGGGTGGGAGAGAGGGATAAAAGAAGAAAAGAAAGAGGAAAAAGAGAGAGAGAAAGGAAAGGAAAGGAAAGGAAAGGAAAGGAAAGGAGGAAGGAAGGAAGGAAGGAAGGAAGGAAGGAAGGAAGGAAGGAAGGAAGGAAGGAAAGAAAGGCTATCTGATGCCCAGGTGAGCATGAGATAAGCAGGGGGCATCATGTGTAGCTTTGGTGCCAGTTTGCCCAGTTCAGGCCCGCTGGGCACCAGGGGAAGGAGGGAGGGGGGACAAGGCCAAACACCCACCAAGGGCTGGCAGGGAGGGCTGACTCACACTGGGGGAGGCTTCCTCCTGGCCGGCTCTCCTGCAGGGCTCTCGGCCCCCTGCCCAGGGCCTTCTGGTGGGGGGCCCCCCGGGGCCGCCCGCCGGGCCTCTCCAAGGTCCACTTCTGGGATTTCAGCCGGTTGATCTTCTCGCTGTACATCCTGGCCAGGGCCTGGACCTTGCTGATGATGCGCTCGGAGGTCTCCAGGAGGCAGGGCTCCCCGCCGCTCTGGTAGAGGCCCAGGGCCGGCAGGAAGTCTGCTGAGGCAGGCAGCCCCTCCTTCACCCACCCGTCCCTCGGCTGCCCCTTGCCGGCACCCCGGAGAGGCTCCTCCAAATCCGAATCCTCCACGATGCAGAGGGGCTCCGCGTAGGCCGGCCGATCGGGGGAGCAGACGACTCTGCGCCTGACCCCCGCGGCCCCCTTCTTGGGGCCGTCCTTGGCGCTCCGCTCCTTCTCCTGCCAAACCCGCCGGATCTCCGCCCAGGATCGGAACCCAGGCTCCTCCGACCCGTCGCTCGGCTCCCGCTGCTTTCCTTCTCTCCCCGAAGCTTCAGGGCCAGCCTCGGAGGGAGCCCCCTTCTCCGCCCCCTGCCCCTGGGGACCCACATCCGAATGGTGCCGCTCGATGGTGGTGAGCGCCCGGCTTCGTCCGGAGTGGGTTTTGGGGACGGACAGAGGTTGGCTGTTGCAGGACTGACTCCGGCTGCGGCTTAGCTGGCCAGACCGAGGGCGGAGCCTCCTCAGCTGGGCTCCTCCCTCTTCCCCTCCTGGAGCCTCCGGCTGCTTCCAGATGCTGTTGAACCGCAGGACGGATTCTCGCACCACCCCGGCGGGAACTGGAGGGGGGCCGCCCTCTTCCTTGGAGACCTGTGGCTCCTTCTTGCCCCCTTCCATGCTCGGGCAGTAGCTCTGGATCTTCTCCAGCAGGACCCAGTCGTCCCTGGGGGGCTTGGGGTCCACCTCTGTGCTTTGCTCCTCGCCCCCGAGGCCGCCCGTGGAGGTTATGGGGCAGGAATGAGGCCTGGCCGAAGAGCCAGGGGCCTGCCTTTCCTCCTGGGAGGCCTCCTGCCGCATGGAGGCCGAGCTGCTGGCCTCCTCCGAGGGGAGATCTTCCAGGACGTGTAGCGGGGAGGGACCGGCGGATTCCTGCGGTCGGTGGAGATCTTCTTCTTCGGAAGAGTCACTGCCAAAGGGGTGGGGGAGCTTTGGCAGGAGCTGCCCTTGGAGGGGGCTCCCTTGGGGAGGGAGGGAGGGGGCCTCCTCCCGGAAGACCCCGTTCTCCTCCTCTTCCTCCATTTTGTCCTGCCGATCTTCTCCGCCATCCTTGGGCGAGGGGGGGTCCTGGAAGTGGGGCAGAAGACAAACCCAGGCTTAGTTCCGTTTCGTTTACTTGTATTGTCCTTGCACCTCGTACAACAACGAACTCAAACCCCACCTTCAGGGCACATCCTGACCATGAAAATAAACACCAATACACATCCTTCACATTCTATGCAATTAAATCGAAAACTCCCAACACCGCACCAACACTGCACTCTACAGCAGAATTCAATAGAGTTACTGCCCTGGGATAGAAGCTGTTTTTCTGCCTCTTTGTCCTTGTTTTTATTATTATCCTGTACCGGCTGCCAGATGGTAATAGTTCCAAAAAAAGGGTTCCCAGGATGAGATGGATCTTTGAGAATGTTTAAGAAAGTTTAAGGCAGCGGGAGCTCTAAAGCTCTTCCCAAGAGGGGAGAGGGCAACCCAGGATCCTCTGAGGGGCAATGACCTTCACCCTCTGGAGTGCCGTCCTATCTGCCACGGTGCAACGGGCAAACCAGACACAAGTTGTAGTAAGTTAAGATACTCAGAGTTAAGACTTAACCCCGACCTCTGTTCTTTCTCCACGGTGTCTTCAGACGAGCTTCTGCTTCCCTGAGTTATCCTGCCCATGTCAACTCGTAAATCATTCCTATCCCGGTTTCCAAGTTGCCATAAGGAAGGAAGGAAAACCTTTCATTGGAGGGTGTGATTGATGACACCCAGCCCGTGGAGAAGCTGATATATGACACACCCAGGGGGATTGTGGGGGAGGGGGGAACAGAGTCATAGGTGATAGCAAATTACGTGTCTCAGAGTTGACTTAATACAGCGGACATGTTGCTCCTAACCAATCTTTTGAATTCTTTTGAAGCTTGGCTGGAGGCTCGTGATTTAAACAGAGCAACAGGAACCCTGACATCCTGGGGGCTTTGACTCCCAAACCTCCCTGGGACACGCAGCTGGAGAAACATCCATCCGAGATACTGTCTTGAGCAGGGGTCTCCAACCTCGGCCACTTTAAGCCTGGAGGACTTCAACTCCCAGAATTCCCCAACCAGCAGAGCGAGTGGTGGAAGGAAGGCAAGCAGAGCTGGCTGGGGAATTCTGGGATTTGAAGTCCACCCATCTTCAAGTGGCCCAGGTTAAGAAACACTGACAAGGTCCATGTGAGGGTTACCCTCTCTTTCACAGCTTATCAGGAACAGGCTTCAAGTACAAATTTAATAAATAACAATTATTTAATTAATAATAATAAATCATTAATAGCACATAGCACTAGCACTTAGACTTATATACCGCTTCATAGTGCTTTTACAGCCCTCTCTAAGCGGTTTACAGAGTCGGCCTCCTGCCCCCAACAATCTGGCTCCTCATTTAATCCACCTCGGAAGGACGGGAGGCTGAGTCAACCTTGAGCTGGTCAAGATCGAACTGCTGGCAGTGGGCAGAATTAGCCTGCAATACTGCATTCTAACCAGAAGGAAGGAAGGAAAGGAAGGAAGGAAGGAAGGAAGGAAGGAAGGAAGGAAGGAAGGAAGGAAGGAAGGAAGGAAGGAAGGAGGGAAGGAAGGAAGGAAGTTTACAGAGTCAGCCTCTTGCCCCCAACAATCTGGGTCCTCATTTTACCCTCCTCGGAAGTACGGAAGGCTGAGTCAACCTTGAACCAGTCAGGATCGAACTGCCGAACTGCCAGCCATCAGCAGAATTAGACTGCAACACCACTGCGCTGCCATAGCACCACAATTATTCTTAATGAAAATAATAATAATCACCCCCTCCGAGCGATTACCTGCCGAGCCGAGCCGGGGGCTTCCGAGCTACTTTCTCTCCAAAACCTCCCTTCCTTCCCAGTTTCCTTGTCCAGGCCCCGCTGGCTAAGCAGCTCCAGGATCTCCTCGGTGATGGAGAGGTTCGTGGTGAGCGGGTCTTGTGCCAGGGAGAATTCGGCCTCTTCCGCTTCCAGATCCGAGGGTTCGGCTTCCTCCTCTGGTTTGGCCGAGGCCAGCGTGCACGAGCTGCTGGAGGAGAGGAGGGGCTCGCTGGCCGGGAAGAGGTCTCCCTCACTGTCCGCGTGCTGCAAAGGAGGAGGGTGCAGGAGAAGGAATGGCAGAGAGAAGCGGCGGAGAGAAAAGAAGCATCAGCCTGGAATCCTTAGGTGGTCACAAAGGAAGAGACACAGTCGTAGTTACACCATAACACGGATAAAGTTTTATGGTGCAATTCCCTTGCCTCACTCCATGAATTTTACAATAGTCTATCCTTTTTCTTTTATCTTCTTCCCAGGTCTAAGCCACCGAACTTAAGAACTTAATCAAGATACTAACAATGCTCTCCACTTTTTGCTAGAAGTTCAAGAGTTCCTCTTTGGAATTAAAATGTTTTACTGTATTATAAACACCCGTTTTTAAACAAAACCATTTGTTATCTACTCCGCTTTCTATTCCCTGATGTAAACCCATTTCTGGAAGGCTCCTTTCTCGGGACAAAATGGAGAAAAGGAAAAATATAATGGAATGAACGAATAAATAAACGTAAAATAAATCAAATCAAATATCTTCCTATGAGAAATAATGCCGTCACCCCCTCCAGCCATAGGTCGCACCTGGGGAACTCACCTTTAACCTGGCTCCATCTGAAAAGGTCCCAGCAGGTAAAAGATGAGATCCACGGAGAAAAGAAAAGAAAAGAAAGGAACTCTCATTAGAGGCATTTCGTTTTTCATGGGAAATTCAATCTTGGACGAAGGAAACCGTTGCATCAACCCGTTGGAGCGATGCCACGTTGGCAGATGCTTTTATCGGTTGTGGCCCAATTCCTCGGAGTATTTCACTTAGATAGCCGAGGTTTATAATGCTCTGAAAACTCGTGAGCCATCACAGATCCATTCCCAGCCTCAAAGCCATTTTTTTTTTAAAAAAATGAATGTGTCATAAAACGAGACCTGGGAAGGTCAGTGGGTGAGGTCCTCAACCTTTCTGTGGAAGGAGAAGCTCCTGCTGTGGTTCATCGGCAGCCGGTGCAGCCGGCAGCGGAATCGGACAGTGGGGAAGAACGGGGGGACCAGCCTGGGAGTCTGGAGAGGATTCGGACGAGGGTCCTGCGTCCGATGCAGAGGTGGGGCCAGGACCATCTGTGTGCGTGTGTGTGCAGGCAAGAGCAGCTGAACCAAAAGGGGCGACTTGGGAGTAAGGCTGGGAGGTGATGGCCCCTCCCACAAGGGATAAAGGAGGTGCAAAGGTAGAGAAACCTTTGCAGGAAGCAAAGTCGTTCGCTCTGTTCGGATTAAACCTTGAAGCTCTGTGTGGACTTGGTACTAAGGTTGGCTTTTTACAGTTAATTTTGCACTTTAGTTGTTGGTAGCAGTTAAAAGGAGAGAAAGGTGGGTGCTCATCTCAAGGGACTGCTCGGGACTCATTACGGGCTGGGAATGCAAATAATTCCCAGCGTTGAAATAAAACAGTTGTTTCAACTGAGCGTGTGCTTTAATTACGGCCTCGGAAGTCTTGGTGAGAGCAGCTCCCAGGATGTTTCTGTTTGCCCCTCCTAGCCAAGACTTGGCAGAGATCAGTAGTCCTCAACTTATGACCATTTCTTTCAAAGATTGGAGGGAGAAAAGTCATGTATGGCTGGTCCTCGCGCTTACAACCATCGTAAGCAATCTGCAGTCACATGTTCAAAATTTCGGGCCTATATGCGTTTATGAGAGCCGCAGCGTCATCATTTGGGACCTTCCTTGGAGATTCTTGCAAGCGAAGTCAGTTGGACTTGCTTAATGGCTATGTGATTTACTTAAGGACCGCAGCAAGAAATGGGTGTGGCTCACTTGAACAACCGCATCGCATAGCGACAGAAATTCCTCTTGCGGTCGTGCTCGTAAGGCGAGGACTCTCTGCATTGTACAAAACCTTTGGCAAATGGTCCTCGGCTTAGGACCACCATTGAGCCCAAACATTTCTGTCGTTAAGTGGAACATTTGCTGGTTTTGTCCTATTTTATGACCTGTCTTGCCCCTGTTGTTAAGCGAATCATGACACTTGTTGAGTGAATCTGACTTGCCCCTTGACTCTGCTCGTCTGAAGGTCGCAAAAGGGGATCACGTGACCTTGGGGCAGAGTAACAGTCATAAGTATGAATTGGTCGCCGAGCATTTGAATTTTGAGTGCCAAGAACGTTCACCCCAAACAAACCCCCAGAATTAAGGAGGAAAAAGCTCTTACTCGCTGGATGAAATAGGACCTGAGATTCCTTGGCTGGCTCTATAAGGAGGAAACAGGGTTAACAGTTAGCATGGTGGTTAGCATCGTGGTTAGGGTCCAATTAACTCACCTCTAAGTCTGCATGAAGAGAGGAAGAAGGGTTAGCATTAACTGTATAAAAAATTGTATAAAATTGTTAACTCTTTCGGAATTGTTAAGGCAGTATTGGCTCGGTAGGGGAAAATGGGTAGTATTATAACAAAGGTCCTCAACATATGACCATCGTTGGGACCACAATCTCCATTGCCAAGTTAGGAGGTTGTTAAGTGAGTTGCACTCGGGTTTACAGACATGTTCACCAAAGTTCTCAAGTGAATTGTGGCCGTTGACCGAATCTGGCTTCCCCCATTGACTTGGCTTGTGGGAAGCGGGCGGAGAAGGTACCAAGTGGCGATCACGTGACTCACTGCAATGGACATAAGGGCGAGGACCGTCGTAAGTGACTCTTTTGGAGCGAGACTAAACTTTGAACGGTTGCTAGAGAAATGGTTGTAAGTTGAGGATCACCTGCATAGTATCTAAGGGAGGCTTGGCAGATTTAAGATGGGTGGACTACAACTCCCAGAATTCCCCATCCAGCGTGCTTTAAGATGGGTGGACTACAACTACAACAGAATTCCACAGCCAGCATCCTTTAACAGGGGTGGACTACAACTCCCAGAATTCCCCAGCCAGCATAGCTGGCTGGGGAATTCTGGGAGTTGAAGTCCACCCATCTTCAAGCTGCCACGGTTGAGAAACACCACCCAAGAAGAGGTTCCAGAAACACCACACTGGTGCTTCTCCAGTGACGCTATCCGGATCAGGCGGACGCTATCTGGATCAGCTTCCTCTCAGAGGCTCCCTCGGAAGCTTTAAGCCACTGACCATCGGCCTTGAACTCTGTTCCAAGTGACCATTCCGGTCACCAAAAAGGGACTTTGGAATAGGGAGGATGAGCCGGTCTCGTGGTCTGCTGGCGCCCCCTGGTGTCCTGCTTGCAGGACACGCACCGTGCTTTGGGGACAGCTTGTCCGCCTGAGGACGCCTGGAGTCCCGCCCACCTCCTGTAGCCACGCCCCTTTCTCCAGGTAGCTCACCTGACTGCCTGCGGCCCCGGCGATAAGAGCCGCTTTTCTCCAGCTGTAAAATGGGACAGCTCCGCCGGATTCTCTCGGGACTGTACATGGACTCTGGAGGCTCTGAAAGAGGAAGTTCTGAGTTTGAATCCTACGCCTGCTGAACACGACCCTTCGGGAATTCTGGGTTGTAGGGTTTGGGAATGCAAATGTTTCCTCTAGTTTACAGGGATTCCTCACTTTGCAACCGTAATAGAGCCTGCCCATCACGGTCGTAAATTGAGACGGTCGTGAATCAGGTTCCCCCACAGGGCTGACCCAATTTTTCGGACCGTTCTTGCAATGGTCGCAAAAAAAAAATGCCGTCGTTAAGCGAACCAACGGTTCATTATGGCTTGTTCGAACTGAGGAGCTCTCGTCTAGGTCAAATGGAGGGAAGTATCAGGACTACATCTCCCATCATTCCTAGCCAGCAAGGCTCAAGATAATTCTGGGAATTGTAGTCCAGGGTCCTTCTGAACTCAGAAGGCTGGTCTGGGGCTCTTTGGCTCATCGCCTTAAAAACGAGAAGCTGAAAAGCATCAAAGTTCCTACAAGCTTCACTGTTAGACCAAGGCTCCTATAGGTAGTCCTCAACTTACAACAGTTCATTTAGTGACCATTTCAAGTTACACTGAAAAAAAGGGACTTGTGACCATTATTCACACTTACAACCGTTGCAGCCTTCCCACGGCCACAACTGAGCCCAAAATGGAAGACATTTGTTAAGTACATCTTGCCCCATTTTACGACCTCCTTTGCCACAGTTGTTAAGTGAATCCCTGCAGTCAATAAATTAGTGGCCTAAGTTGTTAAGTGAATCTGGATTCCCCCGTCGACTTTGCTGGTCAGAAGCTTGCAAATGGGGATCACGTGACCCCAAGGGGACTCTGCGGCCGTCATAAATATGAATCAATCGCCAAGTGCCTGAATGTTGATCTCGTGATCATGGAGATGCTACAAATGTTGTAACTTTGAAAACTGATCATAATAAGTCAGAGGTCCCCAAACTTGGCCACTTTAAGACTTGAGGACTTCAACTCCCAGAATTCTCCAGCCAGCTAGGCCTGCTTTTCTCTCTCTCTCAATCTCCTAAAGTGGAAAGAGATTGCAGAGGAAGGGATCACAAGAGAGTAAGCTCTGCTGGCTGGGGGATTCTGGGAGCTGAAGTCCACCAGTCTTAAAGTGGCCAAGTTTGGAGACCTCTGGTGTAGGGTCTCCTGCTTGAGCAAGGGGTTGGACATAGACCATAAGAACATAGAACCATGGGGTTAGAAGGGACCTTGGAGGTCTTCTAGTCCAACCCCTTGCTCAAGCAGGAGACCCTACACCAGAGGTCCCCAAACTTGGCCACTTTAAGACTTGCAGACTTCAATTCCCAGAATTCTCCAGCCAGCTAGGCCAGCTTTTCTCTCTCTCTTAATCTCCTAAAGTGGAGAGAGATTGCAGAGGAAGGGATTACAAGATAGTAAGCTCTGCTGGCTGGGGGATTCTGGGAGTTGAAGTCCACCAGTCTTAAAGTGGCCAAGGTTGGGGACCCCTGTAATAAATCATTGTTTTCAGTGCCCTTGTAAATTTGGACGGCCACTAAACGAACGGTTGTAAGCCGAGAACTACCTGTATCTGTTTCCCAGGGTGCCTTCCCAGGAATCCTCTATCCACCAGGTAGGTCAGTGGATTCTTGACCGTCCCAGAAGGAAGCCCCTGCAGAGATGCCAGCATGACCGCTGGTCCCGTCTCACCTGATTGCCGCCGGCCACGAAGGCTGGCCCTGGACTCGTCCAGTGGAGGAGAAGGCAGGGGCTTCTTGGGGGTCTCGGGGCTGAAAACCACGTCTGGGGACCCTGTCAAGAGGAGAAAGAACCTTGTCACTCGGAAAGCAAACGGCCGAGAAAATGGGAGACAAGCTAGGAAGTGATTCATTAATGCTTTCATGAGAGAAAGAGGTGATAGTCGAAAAGGGAAAAGATAAGGATTCCACAGGAATGTGTGTGTATTGTTATCTAAGATGCATAATTGTTATTTGTAATTAGCACGAAATTAATATTTTATTATAGAATTATTATTAAAGATATACAATTGCTAACTGTAATAAACATGAAAAGTAATATTGTAATAAGCATGAAATTAGTATTTTATTATAGGATTATTATTAAAGACATACAATTGCTAAGTGTAATAAACACAAAAATTAATATTGAATTGTAGGAAAAGAAATGACATGTGGAATCTGATAGACATAAAAATAATATAGTGAAATATGGTATTAGATAAAAATGACCATTATTATTACTAGAAATGTACAATTTGCTGAACGTAAATAGGATGAGTATTGTTTTGTTTGTATTATAATGAGACTAGAACAGGACTTTGTTTTAAATGTAATAGTGGCACAACCAAGAACCAAAAAGGGAATAAACAATGAAAAACACAAATGAATATGAATTTATGAATGGTTATTAGAATTATATAATTTTTAAACACTGCAAATATGACCATTCATATGATATTTATAATAAAAGAAGATGTTAAGAATACAGAGATAGACACAGGAATAGCACATGGGAATATTTGAACAATTAGGATTGGTAATTTGTATTCATATCAAATGATATAAGAAAGTTAACATTATCAATATGAAATCATTGTCATGTTTGTGTTAAGATGTAAAATACCCTGGAACTACACTGGTCACACAATGATATGTTTGTAGAAATTAAAAAAAAAAAAGGATTTAAAAGGAAAGGAAGAAGGAAAGCAAATGGACAGAGATTCCGCCTCTTCCCCCCCCCCCCCCCCCCCGTGCAAGAATGGGCGGCTGCAGAGACATCCAGGAAATGGGGCCAGGGGGGGGGGTTGAGGACACCCCCTCACACCCCCAAATTCTTACCCTGAAAGCTGTTCTCCAAGAGGACCTGCTTGGCCTGGAAAGAGAAAGAGAGAACATCCGGAGCAAAAGAGTTCTGGGAGTTGAAGTCCAGCCGTCTTAAAAGTGGCCAGGTTTGAAAAACACAGGTAGTCCTCCACTTACGAACATCTGTTTTACGACGGTTCTGAATTACAACAGCCTCCACGTGGGTGGTTTATAGCCTGGGAGGTACTTCCATAAAATCTCATGCACCCCCACCACGTGTAATGCATTTTGGGTTCCGCTTAATGACCGTGCCGTACCCCTAATGCAGGGGGGGTCCCAACCCTTTTCTATACCCTGCCCCCCCCCCCCAGAACGCTTCCAATATATTCTTGCACCCCTTACAAAAATAAATAATTATAGGGATATCATTATGCGTATTTTGAAACTTCCAAAGACACATTTTCGCACCCCCTGGAATATCGTCCCACACCCACCCACCCGGGTTGGGACCCCCCTGTCCTAATGACTGCAGCAATCTGCTTAACGACCGCCATGAAAAGTGTTGAAAAAAACAGGCCTGATCCCGTGGGCGCCTTGACTTATAAGCCCAACGGCTTACAACCAGATTTCCAACCCCCAATAATGGTCGTAAGTCGAGGACCAGCCATACAGGGACACACACACACCCACCCCCGCCTTCATCAAGAGCCCAAGGTCAGAAAAAACGAGCTGGCTACCCCCCCCCCCAAGCCCCCTCCCCGCTTACCTTCTGGGGAATGGACGCCGGGTGATTTTCCACTATCAAACGTTTCAGGTAATGAATCCAGAGTCGCTTCTCTTCCTGGTTCCTCACCTGGAACAGCAGAGAAAGGAAGGTGTCGGGCGGCCGTTTCTACAGCCTGGGAATCCAGAAAGATCTACAGGTACAGATGTGGGACTCAGCTGGTTCGGACCAGTTCTCCAGAACCAGGAACAGACATTTGGAGTCGTTCAGAGAACCGGCCAACCCCGTCTCTTCTCTGCCTCCCATCGAGTCCCAGCTGATCGGCTGGGTCTCCTTTGGTTGCCCTGCACAGGAGAATGGAGCTGGAAAACAGGTTGGTGGGGTGGGGAGGGAAGGGGGATTTTGCAGGATCCTTCCCCTGCCACGCCTACCGAGCCACACCCACAGAACCGGTAGTAACAATGTTTGAATCCCACCCCTATACAGAACCGGTCAGAACCGGCTGAATCCCACCTCTGGTCCATGGGCCATCGTCTCCTAGAGGCTCACAGGGTCCCTGAATCGGCTGCTGGCCGTCTTACCTGGATGGTGTGTTGCTGTTTGGGGATGGAAAGGTCCGAGATTTTGAAGCTCAGGGGGTCCTTGGTGTTCTCCTGCAGCGCCAGGTTGCAGCACTGCAAAGGGTGGGGGGGGAACGTCAGTGAAAAGGATGCCCCCCCCCAATCTAACATGGTCTCAGGGACTTTAAGCTAGGGGGACAACTCCCAGAACCCCCCAGGCAGCATGCAACTTTAAGCTTGGGTGGACTACAACTCCCAGAACCCCCC